TATAATTCTTATTTAATAATTATATTTTATTAATACATACAGAAAAAAATACGAAAGCAAGAATAAATATTCTGTCAATGAAAATATTTTTGAAACAAATAGATTTCTATATGTACGAAAATAAGATGGTTTTTACGAAAATAAAATAAGTTTTTTAAATTAATGAAATTACACTGTAATTCTATATATTTAAAAGTCAGTCAGAAAATATGTATTCACATTAGATTAAGTTCAATGGAATATGTTTGTTAGTGAGTGCATGTAAACGCACTGACGACGATTGATAATATTGGCGGAGAAATGATCGTTAAATTAGATTGTCCAGATTTTCCGAGGCTTCCGTAAGCGAGTTGAAACCCGCTAACGGATACCTCGCCGCAGAATTTCTCCGTCCTCCGTCAAGGTGAGTACCGTATTTGAAGTTGTGTGTTCTGTTACATATTTTTCATAACTTTTAGCTAATCAAATAGTTGCGATTGCAAACCGATCTGGTAAAATAACAATTACTATTATATCATAAATTTTAAATTAAACATAAAAATTTGAAAATTGTATGCAACGTGAAAATTGCTAAACATTTGCGTTTTGCGAATGTTTAAATACGATAATCGTGTCGCATAGAAATGCGAAATTTTATTTTATTATTATTGCTTTGTGTGCGCACTAGATTGCACGTTACAGTAACATTTGAACTTTTAATCTGGAATGCAATTATATGTTGCCTTCCTTCAAGAATTACCCTGTACGCCTAGGATAAATAACACACATTAAATTATAATATGTTGTGATATTAAATGGAATAATAGTTTAGTTTTATTTACTTTTATTTAATTAATACAACACGACGAAACAAACGAAATCTTCTGTTAAACAATCAAGATTTTTTTTATTATTCTTCAATTTTGCTGAACTTAAATATGTACATATAAGGTAAAGTGTTGAAAATAAGGAGCATTATTTTTTGTTGCAAGAAATTATATTAAATGCAATTAAATTTTATTATATTTACATAATATTTTATTTAGGAACATTTTTATAACAAGACCTCGAATGTAGCTCTAAATTAACGGAATCGTTAGTCATGTGATGCACTGGGACTCCTAACGAGAATGTTGCGATAACTTGCTCATCTCAATTACTTAAATTGATAAGTATTATATTTCCTGTGTTGGGTCATGGGGGCACATCTATAGAATTTTATAGAATTTATCTGTTTTTAAAATATCTTATTTTAATCTTATCTTATTATATAATATAATGTAATGTATATAATATGATTTCTTTTCCCGCATAAATTTTCGAAAATTTTGCACATTTTTATGTTTTCTATAAATGTTTTTTTTCTAAATTTTTAATTCGGCGAAAATGTTATGTAATGAACGTACACATTTATAATCTCTTCTTAAAAATTCTTATTTAATAATTATATTTTATTAATACATACAGAAAAAAATACGAAAGCAAGAATAAATATTCTGTCAATGAAAATATTTTTGAAACAAATAGATTTCTATATGTACGAAAATAAGATGGTTTTTACGAAAATAAAATAAGTTTTTTAAATTAATGAAATTACACTGTAATTCTATATATTTAAAAGTCAGTCAGAAAATATGTATTCACATTAGATTAAGTTCAATGGAATATGTTTGTTAGTGAGTGCATGTAAACGCACTGACGACGATTGATAATATTGGCGGAGAAATGATCGTTAAATTAGATTGTCCAGATTTTCCGAGGCTTCCGTAAGCGAGTTGAAACCCGCTAACGGATACCTCGCCGCAGAATTTCTCCGTCCTCCGTCAAGGTGAGTACCGTATTTGAAGTTGTGTGTTCTGTTACATATTTTTCATAACTTTTAGCTAATCAAATAGTTGCGATTGCAAACCGATCTGGTAAAATAACAATTACTATTATATCATAAATTTTAAATTAAACATAAAAATTTGAAAATTGTATGCAACGTGAAAATTGCTAAACATTTGCGTTTTGCGAATGTTTAAATACGATAATCGTGTCGCATAGAAATGCGAAATTTTATTTTATTATTATTGCTTTGTGTGCGCACTAGATTGCACGTTACAGTAACATTTGAACTTTTAATCTGGAATGCAATTATATGTTGCCTTCCTTCAAGAATTACCCTGTACGCCTAGGATAAATAACACACATTAAATTATAATATGTTGTGATATTAAATGGAATAATAGTTTAGTTTTATTTACTTTTATTTAATTAATACAACACGACGAAACAAACGAAATCTTCTGTTAAACAATCAAGATTTTTTTTATTATTCTTCAATTTTGCTGAACTTAAATATGTACATATAAGGTAAAGTGTTGAAAATAAGGAGCATTATTTTTTGTTGCAAGAAATTATATTAAATGCAATTAAATTTTATTATATTTACATAATATTTTATTTAGGAACATTTTTATAACAAGACCTCGAATGTAGCTCTAAATTAACGGAATCGTTAGTCATGTGATGCACTGGGACTCCTAACGAGAATGTTGCGATAACTTGCTCATCTCAATTACTTAAATTGATAAGTATTATATTTTCTGTGTTGGGTCATGGGGGCACAAATAGTTGCGATTGCAAACCGATCTGGTAAAATAACAATTACTATTATATCATAAATTTTAAATTAAACATAAAAATTTGAAAATTGTATGCAACGTGAAAATTGCTAAACATTTGCGTTTTGCGAATGTTTAAATACGATAATCGTGTCGCATAGAAATGCGAAATTTTATTTTATTATTATTGCTTTGTGTGCGCACTAGATTGCACGTTACAGTAACATTTGAACTTTTAATCTGGAATGCAATTATATGTTGCCTTCCTTCAAGAATTACCCTGTACGCCTAGGATAAATAACACACATTAAATTATAATATGTTGTGATATTAAATGGAATAATAGTTTAGTTTTATTTACTTTTATTTAATTAATACAACACGACGAAACAAACGAAATCTTCTGTTAAACAATCAAGATTTTTTTTATTATTCTTCAATTTTGCTGAACTTAAATATGTACATATAAGGTAAAGTGTTGAAAATAAGGAGCATTATTTTTTGTTGCAAGAAATTATATTAAATGCAATTAAATTTTATTATATTTACATAATATTTTATTTAGGAACATTTTTATAACAAGACCTCGAATGTAGCTCTAAATTAACGGAATCGTTAGTCATGTGATGCACTGGGACTCCTAACGAGAATGTTGCGATAACTTGCTCATCTCAATTACTTAAATTGATAAGTATTATATTTCCTGTGTTGGGTCATGGGGGCACATCTATAGAATTTTATAGAATTTATCTGTTTTTAAAATATCTTATTTTAATCTTATCTTATTATATAATATAATGTAATGTATATAATATGATTTCTTTTCCCGCATAAATTTTCCAAAATTTTGCACATTTTTATGTTTTCTATAAATGTTTTTTTTCTAAATTTTTAATTCGGCGAAAATGTTATGTAATGAACGTACACATTTATAATCTCTTCTTAAACTTTTAACATCAACTAACTGAAAATTAAGTCTCAAATTAAATTTTTGATTAAATTGGAGATTACCTGATATTAATCGGAAACTTTTATTATTGAAAATATTCCTATATAAATCTTGTCTAAATTCTTTAAATAAAGTAAAATATATTTTAATATATTAATTCGAACAAATCAAAATATTTTACAAAATTTTAAAGAGATAATAAGCATCATTATTTTAAATATTATTTATGAATATATTATATTATGATATATTATATTATATTATGAATTATTTTTATTAAAATATTAAGCTCACGAAGCATCCTGTTAAAAAAACAAATTATACTTTGCCGCCTATGACAACAGTTTATCTTATCGTGTACGTGTTTAATATATAAGCGCGTCTACTGTCATTTGTACCATTTATTTTCGGATATTCGTATTGTTAACATAATTAATAACGCGCAATAATTATGTTGGGGTATACGTCGCTAATGTTTTTATATATAACAATGTGTGGTATCGCGTTGGATACCACATCTTCAGTATCTTCAGTATCTTCAGTTGCATCAACTGACACAACAATCAACTTACCGTCAGATAAATTAATAAAAAAATAATTGCAATATTTTGTTTTCACTGTTTGTTGAAAGTGAGATGTTAAAGAAATATTTATTACATCAGCAGATATATGCTGTTTTTCTTCTTAAATATAAAATTGTGAAAAAATATCTTTTATCTTAATTTCTTTTACATTAAATATTTCATTAATAATAAAATAATAAATAATTGTTATGAAAAGAAGAATGCCAATTTGCGAAATTGTAGATACTTCTACAGGTTCAGGCAAATTATTACCAGGCTTGAATAGAAACTTGACTCCAGCACAGCAAATTATTTATATTTACGGGCCGAATCAATGGAAAACGCAAAATAATGTCGATCTTATAGAAAAAGCAGGCAACGATTATCTTATTACACCTGGCATAGCTGCTCATAAACTTCATATTCGCAAGTTGACATGGAACAAGGCTCGTAAAGCTTGCATTCAAGAAGGGGGTGAGTTTTTAACAAGGATTGTATTTAATGAAGCGACTCATCGAATGCCGTGTTTCTGCAATTCTTTGTCTAACGAAGACGCGCAATTAATTAATAATTAATTAATAATTTTTATTATTTTATTCGCGGTCGTGTGTTATCAATAATCGGTTTCTCGCATTATCAGTTAGAAACGAATTAAATAATCAGAGTAAAATCACGTAATTTTATCGGGTTAACGCGGATTCGTCTGTCGACCTAGGTCATTTGGCTATCATCAATTCTAACTCGGAAGAAAAAATATTAATACGTATTTTGGAAGAAAATAAAGCATCTGAAGCATGGCTTGGTATACACGAGTTTTACGAAGAGGGCGGTTGGAACACGATTATGGACGAAAGCTTGGAAGCTACAGGTTATTCAAAGTGGACTAAGATGTACAGAGAGGACGTCAAAGTGCCTGACGATAACGACGGGTCACAGCATTGCGGATCCTTAGTGGTTAATGGTGGATTGGATAATCGCGACTGCAACGATGTATACGCCTTTTTCTGCGAGATTACCTTCTGAATCACAGCGAAACTCCGTAAATTATGAACGCGAGATTGTAATCGGACACTCCAATGGTGCGCGATTTATCAAAGGTTATAATTAAATGAGACGATTTAAAAGTGCATTATTAAAATGGAATTAATAACGTTAGTAACAACGCAAGTATGCGTTATTGTAATTAAATGGGGTCAGTAGATTCATGTTGCGATAAAAGAAATTAACTCGAAAGATTAATTTTTATAATGATGAAGATTTAAGTGTGTATGCAGATTTAATGATTATTTTTAGAAATATTGAATGATAACATGAAATACGTATAAAATATAAAAAAAATAGTGTAAGATTTTATACGTATTTCATGTTCAATATTTCTAAAAATAATCATTAAATCTTTATACACAATTAAATCTTCGTCTCATTATAAAAATAAATCTTTCGAGCTAATTTCTTTTATCGCAACATTGATCTACTGATCTATTGAAAAACTAACATAAGAGATAAGTTATTATTTTCATCAAATATATGAAATAAAAATGTAAACAATTATACAAAATGTAAGAACATTAATTTTTTAGAGTATCTTTATTTTTTAATTAAAAGAATAGAATAAGAAGATTATATATTAAAATGCAAAAAAATATTAAAAACAAATAGAAAATAAAGAAAATTATTATCTTACAGTTATCTTACTACAAGACGTGTATATTGCCTTTGTTGTTTATTTATTATTCCAATTAAAAATCGTAAGAAATGTTAAATTATTTTAATAATAATAGGAATTTGATTGCGATTTAAAGGTCAAAGGACACATTTATATTCTACGATTCTCCCGACCTGTGCTGAATCAGTTAGCCCTGTATGCAAATGCAATACTGATTACACGTACCTCTCCTATCTTTATAATCGCGTTCTCATTCGATTGGCGCTTGTTCGCGCCAAATGAGTCAGATCGGTTTGCATTCGCGGTGTTTAATGATTTGCCGCCAGATCACTATGACGATCCCTCGAGTACACTCGAGTCTCCTCTTTCTATCGTCCCCGATGAGACATCGTTCATGTTACAGACGGACCACCCGATAGGCACTTTCAGCCGTCCTATTGATTTTCCCGTGGAAGCGCACGCGCTACTCCGTCCCCGATTGCGACAAGGGGGGTGCGGCTGTAATCATGGATTCCAGTATACTCGCCACCATGGACAAGGACGCACTGAAGAAGCAGATCGAGAACATGAAGTACCAGGCGTCCATGGAACGGTGGCCCCTGTCCAAGAGCATCGCGGCGTAAGTGCATCGCGGCGCCAGTCGAATCGTCGTTTCATCGTTATTTGTTGTTTATCGTCCTTTTTACTTGCCTGCGCATTATTATTCACGAACCCTTCTGAAAACACCCGAGAAAACGTTGCCCATCTTCAAACATAATGTTCCAGAAATGTCATAATTTCTACCGATTATGAATATATCCGTGCATTTGAAATTTAGTTTTCTTCGCAAATTGAAAATTGAATAGAAATTTATCATTTGTTGTAATTTTTTTATCATTATTATTAAACATTATTGCATTTAAATTTTAAAATAATTCTTTAATTTTATTGAAATATATTTAGAAACAAATTATTTATATATATGTATATAATTTGCAATTATATTGTTTTATGTTGATATTTAATAACGATATTTAATAACCTCGTAATTACTGATGCGCTTAGACCACCATTTTTTATGGTATAAGTTTTATCATCTGTGTTTAAAGGACATGATTTCTTTGAGACAAACACGCTGTGTAGAAATTTATTTCAATATTCTTTTTTTTTTATTGTAATAGCAAAAAGTTAATCCTGTATTTTTTAGACCTCTGCTTTATCTGAAAAAAAAATGTAATCTTTTTTTAGCATGAATCATTAGCCGTCTGGAAAGCCGTCTGCCTTCAAATAGTATCATTTTTTTCAGATATTTATTTCATTGAGTCGCATAAATGAATAATCCACATTGCATTTGTTTCTCATTATGTGATGTTAGAATAATTTAAATAGAAAATAAACATTTATACATTTATTTTTTTATTTATTATAGTTTCGTATTTTTATCTACATATAGTATGTATATATATTTTGTTTAATATTAGTCACACATATTTAAAGCCACAATTCAATCCATCTTATATTTTGTCATGATTTATATTTTAATCTCTATCTCATGCAATAATTAATATTTATTATTAATATAATTTAAGTATATTTATTCAACAAATAAGAACCGTTATTATACAATCGTAATCTCGAGATAATACACACAGTTTAATTTTTACAACACGGGCATCTCATTACAAGCTTCTTCGAATACTTCAGGAATTCTTTATGTGTAAAATACATTACGCGAAAGCTATTTAATAGCAATTGCAGTTCCTAGTTTCCTAATAATCGTCAGTATAATTTTCACCGATGCGTAATCATAGAGAATACCCCTTTTTCCAGATAAGTTGATTATACGTGATATATTGTAGTCGTCGATTGTGCTATTATTCAAGGTTCAGTTATTTCTGCTTCGACGATTTATTTGGCATAATAGTAAACATGAGATAAAAATATTTAATTTTTGATTGTTGATTATATTAATTTTATTAATGTATACAAACAATTATTTTCAATCGAGTCAAAAATAATATTTACAATTAGCTTACCTAGATTGTAATTTTTGTCCTTTACACATGTGTATCATACTTGTTTCTACATTCTAGAAAGGGATCGCCAAGCGCTATCTCGCAATTAATTACATCATACTGTTGTATATCGATGCAACTTACGGAGACCTCATTTGTCATGCGCGAAGTGAGACTGACGTTAAGTCTCGTTTTACGTGTCAAAATTAAAATCACCGATAAAACCGATCGTGGGGTGGGTGCGTTCCGGGCTCTCGGTCGCGAAACGCTTTTTCCCATATAAATCATCTCGCACGTTCACATGTATAAAAATATAAAGCAACGCGTAGTCGCGCAGACTGCTGGCGCACAGTCAAGGCTGAATTATGCTCGCGTCCCCGTATTATGTATACATGGTGGGACAGGATCTCCTTGGACACACACTTGGCGATGTATGTCCATCGCGTTTTCCCGCCACGATCACTTTCAGAGACACATAGTAGTGCATAAAGTCGCGATTATGTACATAGGTGTGCGCGAGACGAGGACACCGGAGAGGTGCAATAAACCTGACGCGGGTGCGATTA